CGGGGGCCGGGGGTCCCGGCGCGGAGAGCCGAGCCCAGCCCGGGGCGCACCCCAGACCCCGGGGCTGGGTGACCCCCAGCCACCGGCACACAGCTGATCCCGGGGGCTGGCACCGGGCCCCCAAACGGCGGCGAGGAGGGGAGCGGCAGTGCACGGGGATCCCGCCGGAGTGCGGGGGGGGAGATCGGGGGCAGCCGTCGGCGGGATGTGCGGGGACTCAAGGGGATGAGCACCCTAAACCCTTCACCCTTGCCCCCACCCCGGGCAGAGGCGAGGGACGCCCCGTCTCCCCTCGGGGACAGCCCGGAGGCTGGGGCTCCCTTACAGCCAGGACGGCGCGGGTTTCTCACCCGAGACGGAGGGAACCGGCTGCTCCCCGGTTCTCATTCGGCCTTGGGGCTCGTTCCGAGTCCCTGCCGCCCCGCCATCGTTCCCCGGGGCCACCCGCACCCCCTGAGGAGGCAGCGACGGGAGCCGCAGGCTCTGCGGAGCTGCCGTCCCCAGCGCCCGGCCGCCTTCTCTCTCCGGGGAGGACCGGAGCCCGTCCCCGTCCCGTCCGGGCGCGGAGCCTCTCGGGCGAGCTGGAAGCTTTGCGGCGAGGCTTGGACCCGGTGTCCCGGGGAAGGGAGCAGGGCTGCCGGCGAGCTCCGGGACGCCCGGACCGGACCCCGCTCCCTGGACTGCGGGAGCAGCCCGGGACGGGAGACCCTTCCCAGCCAGACAAGGCTCCTCCGAACGCGAACGGTGTTTTCCCGGTCTCCTGAGTGTCCCTTCTCCCCTCTCCTGAGCTCCTTAGTGTCCTCTGCCTCTCCCTTCCCAGTCTGCCGCTGTCCCCTGCCTTGCTCTCCCGGGTGCCTCCAGTGTCCCCTGCCCCACGCCTCCGGGGGTCTCTGTATCCCCTGCCCCAAATTCCTGTGCCTCGCCGTCCCCCGCCCAGTGATCCCCAGTTCCCCGTGCCCCCCGCTCTGCACCTCGGCGTCCCCCGATGTTGTCACCAGTGCGCTCCCGGGTGCCTCAGTGTCCCCCGCCTTGCGCTGCTGGGCGCCTCGGTGTCCCATCCCCTGCGCTTCCGATCGCCTTCCCCTGCTCCGCGCTTCTGGGTGCCTCGGTGTCCCCTCCTTTGCCGTACGCTCCCGGGTGCCTCAGTGTCCCCGCCGTGCCCTGCTCTCCATCTCCCTGCGTGTCCCTGTCCCGCTCCCCGTGTCCCTGGACGTCGCCGCGCTGCTCGCCGTGTCCCTGGATGTCCCCCTGACTTTCGGTCCCCGTTCCCTTGCAAGGTCCTGGATGTCCCCCTGCCTCTCGCTCGCCGTGTCCCTGGATGTGCCCCTGCCTCTCACTCCCCGTCCCTGAAGGTCCCTTGCCGGGTCCTGGATGCCCCCCTACCTCCCACTCCCCGTCCCTGCAGGTTCCTTGCCGGGTCCTGGATGTCCCCCTGCCTTTCCCTCCCCGTCCCCTGCCGGCTCCTCCGCTCTCCCCTTCCTCTCCCTGCCCTTGCGGGGACCTCAGCGCCCTTTCCCCGTCCTTCCCCCCCGCGTCTGCCGGAGCGTCCGTGCCCGCGGCGTGGGACTCACCCACGCACTCGTTGGCCTCCCGGGCCGTCGCTCTCTGCCAGGGCCGGTCGTAGTGGAAGGGCTTGCAGCGGTCGCACTCGGGGCCGGCCGTGTTGTGCTTGCAGTCGCACACCAAGCTGTCGTCGCGGTCCCGGACGCAGCGCGACGCGTGGCCGTTGCACTTGCATCGCCCGCCGACCTGCAAGTCGGAGACGGCGTAGAAGTAGGAATCGCGGGCCAGCTCGGAGTCATCCTCGCTCTCGTCGCCGAAGGTGTGGAGGCGGCTGAAGGTCACCCTGATGTCGGTGGCCGTCACCCAGTCCTGCAGGACGGGCGAGTTGTCGAAGTCGTGGGCGGTGGGGCGGCCGTCCAGGGTGCTGAAGGCGATGAGGCCGCCGGAGAGGGGCCGCACGTCGGTGTGCGAGTCGGTGCAGACCGCCTCCTGCTCGTTCTGCTTGGTGATGGCGGCGCGGCTGGGCTTGTTGTACATCTTGCGGCACTGCGTGGAGTAGAACTGGAAGGGCACCCAGGTCTTGCCGTAGTCCATGGACTTGTGGATGGCCATGGACTCGGGGCGCGGCGAGCAGAACTGCAGGCTGACGTAGGTCACCTCGAACTTCTTGCCCAGGGAGAGGGTGAGGGTGACGTTGTGGGGGTACTGGACGTAGCTGTCGGACTGCCAGCAGGTCAGGTTGTGCGGGTTGTTGAGGTCGGTGAGGAAGGAGGGCGGGTGGGCGCGCTTGGGGTCGGAGGCGTTGCAGAGGTGGCAGGAGCGGACCTGCTCCTCGCCCTTCTCCGTCACCACGCAGTACCGCGACGGCGGCTTCCCGCAGGTGCTCGACACCTTCACCTCCTTCCCGAAGGCCGAGTTGACGAAGTCGGGGATGCAGCGGCGGGGCAGCCCGTGCTCGTCGTAGCAGGGGTCGGGCTGAGCCGTCTGCACGGCGAACATGCTCACGCCGTGGTAGCCGCCGCGCAGGGGCTGCGCCAGC